CAAAGTGACCACGAAGGGGTGCGAAGCCTCGACTCGACGAGTTAATCTCGCGGGGAATGGCAAAGTTGTAGGTAATAAGAAGATCTATAACTCTTGTGGATAAACTTTTTCCACATAACCTCAAAGTTTATGTAAAAAATTCAAATAACCAATTCTTAGGTTTTTTATTTTCAACTTTTACAAAAAAATTGTTTTTTCACGAAATTTTCTACCTTTTTATGTCTCAAACACACTGTGATTTTTTTCGATTCGGAATATCATTTTGTTCACCTTATTTTGACTCAATATCGAAAGAGCACCCTAATTTTCAATCGAGAATTTTTGCGTGAAAATATCAGCTTTTTCAAAAAAGTGCTTTTTGTCCGTTGAAATCTCTATTTTCTGACGGTGTAAAAATAGTAGTTTGTTTTATTAGGATCAAAAGTGACACTTTATTTGACAAGCAAATTTTGCATTTGCGAGGCGGAGCGTGTAGCGAAGCCGAGCGAAAGCAAAATTTGCGAGTCAAACAAAGTCACTTTTGATCCGAATGAAACATGCTATTTTTTCTTCAACCGAAACAATTAACTCATATAAATATGTAAAGTAACCACCCATGCCGTTCCATATGTATGCAATGGAACCAATTTTGTCAAATAATCCATGTGGTGAGAATATTCTACCTGCATTAACAGCAGGTTTATTGAATTTTCAAGGATGTTCGAATTGTAGTTTCAATATAAATACAACCACAGAGTGACATATTTGTGTATTGACCAGGTGTTCTAGTGGCAAATACCGCGCCTCTCCATACTACACTGTGTTTGACTTGATAATCAAATGGAGGCGAACAATATCGTTGTTTGAGACAGAAAAACTATTGTTTGCCGTGATTATTCAAAAACCAGTTATTTATCCCGAGAATAACGAATGAAATACATATCAAACAAGTATTTGAATCTTGAAGGCTTCCCTGATCGAAACAAAACTACTTGACTGAGATGTTCATGATTCCAATAATCAACTATAATAAAGTGTATTCATATCTCCAGCATGGGTATGAAATGCCAAATCTGCCGAAATCGGAAACAAATCAGGTATGCGTCTCAACCCAAATAACCAACTGTAACAATGTTGTTTATTCCTGATGACGCCTAGTACATCCTTTTTAGTTCCTAGGAGCTAAAGTTCAACTTTAGCTCCTAGGAACTAAATATGTTGCCTAGCAACATACCTATTTTTGTGTCAGTAATAGAAACGTCAATTTAAGAGCTAATTTTGGTATCAAAATCGACAAATTTTGTGCCGGTTTCAGAAAAAATATATACATTACTGTGGTAAATGTTCTCAGAAAATGCAAAAAAAAAACGAAAAAAACAGCGGTCACATTACTTAGATCAAATCCCCGTTAAATCCAATCTTTATTATCTATTTTTTACAATCTTTATGTTTCATGGATTTGAAATGTTTTCGTTTATCAATGGAACATGGAATCTTACGTTTTTTGAGTAATTAGTGTTAATTTTAATAAATAGCTCAAAATTGTACATAATGATGAAAAAAAATCGGATTCGAGTTTCGTTTCTTCGCATTTCCTGAGAAGATTTATCACGGTAATGTATATATTTTTGACACCATCAGAAAGAGATTTCAACGAACAAAAAGCCCATCGACTTTTTTGAAAAAGTAGATATCTTGACGCGAGAATTTCCGATTGAAAACTAGGGTGCTTTTTCGATATTAAGTCAAAATGAGGTAAACAAATAAAAATTCCACATCAAAAAAATTACAGTGTATTGAGACATAAAGAGGTAAGTTTTCGCAAAATGTGGATTTTTTTGTAAAAGAAAAAGAAAAACCAAAAACTTGGTTATTTAAATTTTTCACATGAATTTCGAGGTTATGTGAAAAAGGTGTGGATATATGAGTTAGAGATTTTTTCATTACCTACAACTTTGTCATCAAACTTTTTTCCATAGGGCTTGTAGTTTTACCGGAAATGGAGATAAACCGTTTTTCGCCCTTGAAAACTCACCCCCTACCACTTCCCGATCTCAGATCGCCCGTAATTTATTTTTCCTTATATCTTTGTTCCATTCTCTTCCTATTTCAATGGGTTTTATCTCTTTAATTTTTTTTACTTCTCACTTTTTTTTTCAAAGGCTTCATTATACTGGTCCAATTATGTTTGGTTCATAGAATTTTGAATCACAGCTGGATTGGTAAATCTACAGTTATGGAATATACAGGGTGTCTGTAAAAGGTTGGGACATGGCTCGGCTGTGGACTGCTGGGATGAAAACAAGTTGATTTAGGCCAACTTACCTATATCCAAAATCGTCGTTGAGTTGGTACAAGGCTATGAAGTTTTTTTGTAAAAAAATAATTTTGCTGAGGTCGATTTTCATAATTTTTGGCATAGCATGTTCTGTGACTGTAAGTCACGTTTTGAGATGTTTTTGATCATCATCAGTGACCTGCAAGTGTTTCAAACAACCATGATGCCGTACCAATTTAGTGATAACTTTTCAGAGGTCAGACCGAAAACTTTTAGTTTTTTTTCCAGAAAGATATTCCCTTCAGAAATATTTTTTGTATCGTGTTAATTTTTGATAAGTTTCGAAGTTCGTTTGCGAATAAAATAATATCTGATCAGAGGCATCTTATGCATTTAAAAAAAAAACCTGGCTTGATTGTAGACTCCTGAGATGAAAATAAGTTGATTTTAGCCAACTTACCTATATCCAAAATCGTTTCGTTGAGTTGGTACAAAGCGTTAAAGTTCTAACCTTAGGTCTTGAATAGTCATCACTAAATTTGTAACGCGAAAGTAAAGCCCGCGAGGACCAGCAACATATTAGTTTGTTTACAATAAGAATACAGTGTAGCCATGATCAATAAACAGTCCGACTAATTAGATTGATTTTCAAAAATGCGCAGGATGCATCAGATCAGAAATCATTTATTTGCAAATGAACCTCGAGACTTATCAAAAATTAACACGATACAAAAAATATTTCTGAAGGAAATATCTTCCTGAAAAAAAAACTGGAAGTTTCCAGTCTGACCTCTGAAAAGTTATCACCAAATTTGTACGGCAACATGGTTGTTTGAAACACTTGCAGGTCACTGATGATGATTAAAAACATCTCAAAACGTGACTTACAGTCACAGAACATGCTATGCCAAATATTATGAAAATCGATCTCAGCCTACTCTTTATGAGTAAAATTATGTTTTTCCAAAAAAACTTCAACGCCTTGTACCAACTCAACGAGACGATTTTGGATATAGGTAAGTTGGCCTAAATCAACTTGTTTTCATCCCAGGAGTCCACAGCCGAGCCATTCCCAACCTTTTACAGATACCCTGTATATTCCCATGACTCCTGAATGGATATTTTGATAAAATGACATCATGGATTACCACTTTCCCTCACCGCGTTTTCTGATCGTGGCAACCTTCCTCTACAAATAATCATAAATTCTACCAACTTTGGGTGAAAACAGTTGAGTGACACCTATCAAAGCCAAGGAATCGGAGATATAACCAAGATTTTGGAAAGTATAAATTACATAGGTATTGAAATAATTGGGTGTCTTCCTAGATGCTCAAATGGCCTCCAATAATACAGTGCTTATGATATCTTTCAATATTTTCCATGAATGAAAATTGTATCTGGAACCTAGCTATAAATCCACAATTGTGCACATTCAGAGCAAAATATGCCAGGCATCCATCATGCTGGAAAAGTATTTTCCTTCTTTCATCCAAAGCCAATCTGCTATTTTGTATTCCCTTTCGTGGTCACTTTGGAGACCTGCAGAACATCTCTTTCCAAAGACTCGTTTATCCAATGAACAGCGAGGCCCTGGAACACATTTCCAAGGGAGGTGTTCCCGAGGCATATAACCTTCAGAAATTTAAGAAGAACACCAATTCCTACCTTGTTTCCCTTGGTTCTCACGATGTTCTCTGAACATCACAGGATATCCCTTTTCGTGGGAACCAGAACATAAAAAAAATAGCCTACTCGTACACAAAGAGTGTCAGATTACCAGATGAAATGATCCGTTATTCCAGAGTTTTTGGGATTTTCTCTCCTCGTTTCTACAAAATAAAAATGTGAATATTATTTCAATATACGTGTAGTAAGGACGAATCAGATGATTTGCCCCAAAATGTCACTGCCTTTAAAGAATTTTCCTATCAGAGAGTCTAAAAGAAAAATTCACTAGCTGGTCAGTGACAATTTGTATTCAAGAAGGTTTGGAGAAGAGAAATAGAGGCGGTATACAATAGATAAATATCAAATCTTCACTTAGCTTTGGACGTTTCGGGAACGAATCTGCTCCCGTTTTTAATGTAATAATAGTCCGACCGAGAAACAGGAGGATTATTCTGTTAAACTGACACGATTTGTAATTGTGCAGGAAGTTTGAGATGGAAATAGAAAACAACATTGAGATCTGTTCAATGGCGTACTCAGAAAAAGTTATATGAATTGTTCGATCAACAGTAGCTACTCCAAATATGTAACATCCCGGTGGGCCTACGAAATTTCAGAAAGATATTTATAGACAATATTGAAATATACAAAAAAAAATTAAAAATTTCCGACACTCCGTAGCGGCTAAATGGAGCGTTTTGGTATAAAGGTGAGTTTGGTTCAATCATTCACTTTCGCCTCGGGAGTCTATGGTATCATTTTGTACAGACCTTTCAGGGACACCCTCTATATCTCATTGAAAAGTATCACCTTGCGGCTTCCATCATTTTCCTTCCATTTTACCCTACTTTCATATTACACTGAGAAAAATAAATGGTTCCATTTGAAATTATCAAGAAAGAAGTGAAAATGATTTCGTTTTTTAACGATGCCCTTTAGGGGACAAGATTCAAATCGATTTGTGATTTATCTGAAAGAACAGAAGACACTCTTTATAATGACACTAAGTTTGTCAAATTTGTGAAGGTCATATTTACTGTATTAAAACAAAAAAAAATATATTTAATTTCAGCTAAAGGAATCTCTAAAAAACCAGCAACAGAACCATTATTGGAAGAAAATTTATACGATTCTTCTCCAGATCAAAATGTAACTTTGTCTGAGGGTGAAGCGCTCATCAATACAGAAACCGAAAGTGATCAACCTATTTCTCCACCCTACGTCAAAGCACCGCTCGAAGACCGGTCAAAATATGAGAAATTGACTAAAGGTGCATTTGACATTACTTCAAATAGCAGCTCTGGCGAAGAAATTGATGGAAACTTGATAACAAAAAAGAAAAAGAAGATAAACATTCCCGAGAAACTACAATCTGTTTACAAAACCGTAGAAATACCAATTAAAAATCTGAGATCTGATCGTAATAAAGATAAGAAAAAAACAAATACAAAGAACAAGGAGTCCACCAATGTTGATTCTGATGACTCTATCGGCTCAGCCAGTGACTTGAGAATCGATGAAGATGATGTCCCCGCTGTTAAAGAAGATTTAATTAGTGAGACAATTAGTGAAAGCATAAAAACATGTGGTTCATCTGCTTACCATGCAGAATGTGAAAGTATGGCAACTCAAGAAGAGGACTTTACCAGTAGAATAATTAGAACCAAGCAGCGGACGCAAACTAAAATTCAATCTGAAGATATGTTATTCGTGGGCCATCAATATGGGGAAAAACCTTTACTATTCGATGACGAATTAGACTCGGACTATGAGGCTAAGAATACACATAAATGGATCTCTAATGATACTCAAGAATCGAACGATGCTGATGTTTGGATGTCGCCCTCTAGATTTGTGGACCATAATGATATTTTTGCAAAAGCACCTTTCGGCAAATATAAGCCAAAAAATAAGGGAGTAATTATAGGTAATGTAAAAGATGATATTGTGATAACTAGTAAAACCGTTGATCACGGAAACAAACGTATTAATGGTTCTACTAAAGATATCTCCAAGTGCAACAAAAATCAAACTGTTACCACTGCGAATTCAAACCCATTTTTGAGTTTGGAATGCTTGCCAATTTCTGTACCAAATTCTGCGACTGTAATTAAAAATCCTAGTCAATCTGTAGAGTATGGTAATGAAAGATTTGAAACAAACTTTAGCGAAATGCCGTTACCTGATCCCATTAATGAAATGGAGGCTTACGGAAATATTATCATACCTGAAAAGAGCACACCTTTCATAGATCTGGCTGTACCAAAAGAAATTTCTGATAAAAAAATTAGTGGTTCTCATAGTAACACATCTGGTTCGTGTAGCAATCTCACACGGAATTTCACTAGTGATAATAATTTGAATCATAAGGAAGTGACTCAAAAAACTAAAAAAGAGAAGAAGGACAAAGATCAAAAATCAAAGTATTGTCTTATAGATGATAGTATTTCTGATGATGGTCCGAGCTTCTTAGCAAAACCGGTAAAAATATCAAGATCTTCAAAGGGAAGTGGCAAAGTTAAAAGGTCTTCACTTAAAGTAAAAGTGGATGGAGGATTTAGTAATTTGAGCTTCGAAGATTTTCCATCTGATGATCGAGAAGTTATCGAAAGTTCTATAGTACCTTTTGAAGTGCTGAGAAGTCCTGAACAAGAACAAAAAAGTTTTGGAGCAAAGAGAATCGGTAATCCATTTTCCTAATAATTGAGATGTATATAGTATTTTTCCTAGTATTACCTACCTGAATTAATTCATGGCTGTCTAGAAATTAAAATTCGAATCGAAATAATTGACATTGGTATATAGTGCTCATAGTATATGATCCATTTATCCTGCTGGTGAAGTTTGTTACCTAAGGCATTATGAAGTGATTTAGCAATGGTTCGCTTCAGTCTCCTATATATTAAAAGGTTGTATAGTCGACACTTTACTTCAAATTAATACAACGACTTCTGTATATGTAGTACTTTGCAATATAGCGAGTTTCTTGCACATTACAATTTGTTATACACGATGGTTCAGAATTGTCTCCATATATTCTTGTGATTGATAGAATATCCAAAATTTTCTATACAATTATTTTTTTAAATAGATACCTATTGAACGAGATATACCCAATATTGAAGGAAGATAATAAATAACAGTTTTCCATATGGCAGTGGCTATGTTATGTTCAAGTGGTATTTTTAGGAGGTGAGAATCAATTTTTACGGTATTTTATACCCAACCTTCAATGAATTGTTTGAATATATCCAGAAATTCTCATCGACAAATTGTGCTCGAATAATATGTTTATACAGGGTGTCCCGAAATTACATAAAAATATTTCAACCACAGATTCTAGGAACAAAAATAATCATATAAACATGGGTCTAGGTCTAGAAATGGTTCCCTGGAGGATTATAGCCACCTAGAGGAGAGCCCGATAGAAAAGTGAAAGGTCGTCGACCTTTCTACGGTGTTCCTATGATGTCAAAGAGTGAGTGAGTGTGGCGTCACCCACCAGGCGAATGGCTCTTTATGTGTGCAATTTGTTGCAGTTTGACCAGAAAATATGATAATATCATAATTTTTACTCAAAAATGTCACTCTTGTTTAGTTTCGATAAATCAATTTCAAAAGTTTGTAGCGTAATAAAAGTAAGTAGTCTTTTCCATACCATATTATTTTTCAATTCATTATTTTTATTGTACCCTCCATATTTTCAATCTAACATCCAAAGTTGATCTTCAAAATAAGGGGTATTTTTCATCAAACCATTATTTTTGGGAATATAGGTACGGTATCTCTAAAAAAAAATCACGGTATTCATGAAGCAGCAGAATTTTTCAATCGATTTATCTCGAGAATGGTGAATGCTATCGAAACTGAACCAGACTACAATTTTTGAGTGAAAGTTTTGTGATTTGCATATTTGCTGGTCAAAGTGACGAAAATTGCATAAACAAAAAAGGTGGGAGTAAAAGCGCACCTGGCCCCACCTATTTTCGACGCTCCTGATTAAAATTTCGGAAATTTCTTAACACTTCCGAATCGGTCATAAAAATTTGGGTACATGTACAAAATTTGGTTATTTCATCACAGAGGGTTTCGTTTTAGATGGGTGTAACCCTACAGGAGGCCATTTTTGGACTGTGATTGAAATCTTTCTATGTAATTTCGGGACACCCTGTATATCAACGTGCAATTACTCTAGCAATGGCAGGAATGTCCTATATTAAAGTAAGGATTCCTATGAAAGATTATAACATCGTAGTGACCGTTGAAATGTTTTTTGGATTAGCCACCGCGTTCACCTTATGTGAAATCTAATCATAACAGATTCGTATTTCCCTTCTGACAATCCTTAATGTCATAATTCCGCAAATGGGAAAGGTATTTCAACCGCCACAATCTTTTATAGTAGAGTGCCTCAAACATCTCATTTTATGCTCATTAAAGAGTGTGGACACAATAGTCATATTGTTAAACAGCTGATCGAAAAACATGAGACATAATAATATATAAGTTTTATAAGATATGGACTGTAATTTTGCTGTACCCCTTCAGTGTTGAACGATTGCAGACAACATATTTTTATTTGAAACCCTAACATTGGCGTAACACCAAAGGCACATAATGATCTTCGTGTAGTTATATCAATATTATGTCAATTAATTCTTTTCCATGAAATGAATATTGGATTTTGAAGCAACTCAAATACATGTTAACCATCATTATTAAAATTTTTGCCATTCGTTCCCGAAGAAAATATATTCGAAAACATTTTCGCGGGGACACCCATTCAATTTTCAACTGACGTTTAAATCTGAGAATGATGACAATTCGGACTTGTCAGTGGTGACAAGCGTGAAATGAGATGTTCGAGGCACTCTAGTTTATAGGAAACTTGTAGTACCTTTATTTTTTTATTAACTATCAGCCACAGAAATATTGGAAGACACCGTGTATAAGTAGATATCAAAATCCTACAAAAGCCAAGGAGATAAAAATTGAGCGATAAAATTATAGTCTAGATCTCATTCACTGGGATTCGCTTGCAAGTGCTGCATAATGCTTGTTAGTCAGTAACCAATACCATGTCATTATTTCATCCTCTTCTGATGAAATACTTTTGCTAGTAATTGAATTATTATGGTCCCATTCCATGGAATCCTTTTTTTTTCATTTCTCAGCAAAGAAAATAATCATTCTCAGCGAGTTCACACGATGTTAACGCCAAATACGTTTTCTCGTACCAAAGATAATTCATCTAATTCGTTACTATTTTGGCGTCCTTTGTATATTAAATCAATATAAAATTGGGCCAGAAACTATGAAATAACTATTCATAATTGTTTCTTTCAGCCCATAAAGTACATACTTTTGGATTCACATGTTTTCACCATTTCTAATTGTATGTAGTTACATGTTGTCTGAACCGAAATTGAAATACGCCTCAGATTTTGCATTTCTATTACATTCATTTGGATTCAAGATGAGTTAAATTAACTATTCAACTTCATATTATCACTCCGTTAAAATATGATTTATTGAGAACGAAACCTTCTTGATTATAATATTATGAATCATCTATACAATTTTCAGAATAAAATGGAATCATTGAAGAACATTTTGTTTCTTATTATTGGGTTCTGAGTAGCCTCAAAATGTGCAATTTTTCCCAACATTTTGTTTCAAGTTTTTCTTTTTTTTTCTCAAGGGAAATATCACAAAACTCTCTGATGAAGGTAGCTTATACAATATATTGATATCGCAGTGGCGCGGAGTTGATATCAAAACGCCCAGCTTATTATCGGCTACTGCGTGGCTGGTGACCTCTGCTGAAGCCTCAGGATATAATCCTGGTCCTTGGGTAATACTGATATTCTTTACTACCTGGGGTAAAAAAAGTGAAGATGATGAAGTGAAAATAGGGGATATCATACTGTATGTATATATCACAAAAAATCACAAATTTCAAAAAAATATATAAAAAACAGGATGTTCCATTTAAAAAAGTCAATTTGTGATTTGTCACGCTTCATTGCGGCATTCAACTTCCGCATTTCGTTTGCTCTTTCTCGATAAAAAATAACGTAAATAAAGGGGTGTACCTTCTCGATGAAAAACCCTGTATAGTTAATAATAGAGAAGCTGAACAAAAATGGAAATTGTAATACAGAACTCTTCATTTCGAAAAATTATCATCGCTTTTGTGTATTCTTGATAAAAATTCTGGTATTCACTTCAGTATTTTTTCATAGAGCTCAAACACGACCATATTTGGAGTTCTATGTATCAAATATGTTTGTTCTATTCTACATAATCTCACAAAGACATTTCATAGCACATAAACGTTTAAAGTTAGGAATATGGAATACTATTACGTGTGGAGGTCAAATTAAATTTTGCATTTGAATGATACAGAAATAAATAACTGGGCATTATAGTATTCGGAAGAATATACAGGGTGTCCCAAAATTGAAGGAACACGGAGCTACCACGTGTAATAGGGGTCAAAATAAGTTGATTGAAGCCAATTTTCTTATATACCAAAATGTACTGTTTGTCCGTGAGAAGAGTTTTGAGTTTTCATAAAGAGCAGGTGTTTTTCAATTTTTCACGTCAAATCGGCCTTTGTATTTGATGGAGGTTGCCTGTCATCAATCAATCAATCTTCTCGTTAAAAAAATGTGAGAACCGTACTATCACCATTGAGAACGTTCTGAAAAAAATGTCAGGGTGTGAGGTAAAGTTTCAACCCTTCTACAGTTTATTTTGGGTTTCTTAATTACTGAAATGAGAGTTATTCTCTAAAATGCACTTTTGTCAAATTTCATCAAATTTGTTTTACTCATTTCTGAACAGCAAACAAAAATGTGTTTTTATGTAAACTTTGAACTTCTCACGGACAAACTGTACATTTTGGTATATAAATGAATTCTATGAATCAACTTATTTTGACCTCTATTACACGTGGTAGCAATACTGGGATACCCTGTGTAACCCATGGAACAGGGCACATTTTCAAAAATGATTACCGCTTCTCTATTACTACGTTTTTTATTAACGAGTGCTCCAACATCCAATCTTTGACATTTTTTGTGAACGGCGTTTTAATTTATCGTTTTATTTGCTCTGGGATCATCAACACTCTGAGTTTTGAACAATGAAAAATTCTCTAGAAATCTCCATCATCAAAATCAGACTGAGGGACATTTCATGATCTTATGATACATGGTCTTCTCTCATAATCTGTGATCTCCACTTGTTCATCATTCCCCAAAAATTTCAATTCTTCAATGATATAATTATACAATTTATTAATCTATCAGTGAACTCGGATAATGATAAACAGTTTGATTAGTGGTTGAGCCTCAGCTCGTGCTCAATTAGACTTAACTAGCGATTGATAAATCGACCCTAAATTGTTATTTTGACAACTTTCGGGGTTGTGGTCCCGCCGTACGCCCCAACAAATATTTTTCGCGGCTGTTGTTCAATTATATCACAATTAAACCTTGGAAGAATACATCACCAAAATGACGTTTTTCATTGCTGCACAGTATAAACGTCTCATTTACAAGAATATTCACGAATTTAAATGGAGATAGGCTCATCGAATTTGAGCCACACGTGGATCCTGTCCGGTACACTATTGTTCATTCGAAGTTGCACCTACTCGAAACGATTTTATGTACAAGGTGGACCAAATAGAGGGCACTTTCAAAGGGAAAGTCTTATTCCCGTACATGGTAGAAAAAAAACTGATGTCGGTACCTGTTGATCAAATCACATGGCAAACTCAAAGGTGGAAACGTTAAATCGATATCTATCTTTATTTCAGAGTTCGTCTTTTTCAT